TGTAACTGTGCAACTTCCTTCACCATTTTTGCAGTATCCTTCTAATAGCCGTAGAGCTTTCAATTTGTTCAAGCAGTACTAGTAGAATATGACCTCTATGTTCCTTTTCTCCCTCTTGACATTTTGATAGTAGCCGGGTATCTCTAACGCTGAGCCAGGTATACTCTACGGCGCGCTCGAAAGTACGACAAGAATTTACATAAAGAGGGTAGCACCAAGGGGCAGAAAAATGAAGTCATAAGGTTTCGAAGCGTAATCTTATCAGGGGCATCTGTAAAAACTTGAAAGATGGCTCAGTGCAGTAGGCCGGTGTAAAGTGATAGCTGCTCTACTTCCTATGTTGAAACAGTATCTTGATGTATCTGCTATGCTGGCCAGCTATTACAGAAATCAATTTTAGCAGTTTCTCAGATAATGAATAGGGGTTTCATCGGATTTCTGAATCAATCTTCTTTTCCTATGCTTAACAAATGTACTGCTCGACGAATGAACATGGGAATGCAATAAACAAGTCCACCAAGATATAATCTCCATCTACAGCATCACAAAAAATGTGTTTGTTGGGGAAGTTCTACAACAATGAAACCTTACAGGACCTGGGAATCTTCGGAGGCCTACTGCCAATCACGGAGCGGTCATCTCGTGTCTATTCACAACAAAAAAGACATAGCTGCCATTAAAGGTAAGTGCAATGTAAACGTTGAAGTTTCACGACTGTGGCCTTTCCGAATGCCCGTTGAGCTCTCTGAAAAGGCTTTCTGACCAATCTTCATTCCTATTGACCTATGACTTGTTATCTTACAACCAGTCTCTGGTCAGAACCTTTCCTCCATGTTGGAAATTGGCTTGGACTTGTGAAGCAAAAGCACGAAATCAAGGCAACGGCGTAAACGTCAACTGCGCTTTTATTTGCGGCAACTTTTTCGACGTTTTGTTTGCCTTTTTGTAGCCATCGCTGTTGTGAGTAGCCAAGGCGTAAAACAGCTTGGGTCCCGCTTAGTGGAGAGCCTCAGTAGTTGCTCATGAACTAGTAGATGAAGAGCGGTGAGAAAAAACGATGTGAACAGATTCGGGTTGTAGCGATTAGCGACTAGCGACAAAGAAGGAAATTTACTAGAACGTATGACACTCGGAAGCGTTTTCTGTGAGAATGGAAAGTGGCGAGTTGTATTCACAGAACAGCGGCGCTAGTCGTTTTTTAAGCACTTGGAGACCTGAAGGACTGCAAATCTTATTGGACGGGTGGACAGTGCAGATACGGCAAATGTACATGGACAGATCGATCAAAGTTCAACTTCAGGAGAACTGGTCGAAGTAGGTTCCTCCACTTTTCCCAAAAAATNTAGGTTCCTCCACTTTTCCCAAAAAATTTCTTCTACTGATGAATCGTTTCATGCAATATGCACTTCCTATTCAGAATATTCAAACTCATCCTATCATTGCATATATTCGTCGTACGACAAAGGTAAGTGCTTCAGCTGCATTTTTTGAAATTTTTGGAGAGTCCAATCTCACCCAAATTGGAAAGGCCGAAGAAGAAAGCCCGTTCAATCGCAAATATTGCAGGTACTTGGGATACAGCAAATTGCAATAAGAAAAAATGCTTCGTCTGCGAAACGAGTGAGACAATGAGCGACTGTGCTGACTGGTACAAAGCCGGCTATAGAGAGTAGGTTCAGGATGGGAAATGCAGAATTACGGCCCAATGTTCCCCGGAACTAGGGTACTTTATTTTCAGCGATGGTGAGTACAGCATCATGCTCAACGGCAAGCCTTACCGAGTCTACTGCGACATGCATACGGCTGGAGGTGGATGGGTCGTGTTTCAGAGGTTTGAACAGACCACATATTTTTAAAGAAGTACTATAGTGCTCTTAGTCAGAAAACTCGGTGCATACAACGGTTTCTCAGGATTGTTTACCAACAAAAGGGCCCATTACGACCAGTAACCCAGAAAACCTCATTTGTTTCCATTCAAAATTGGCGAATTGCTTTATATCGCGCAACCATCGACGTATAGGTCTATTCCATCTTTCATATCATGACAATTTACGTAATCAAGAACTTTTTCTCGTTCTCAACACAACTTGCCCCAGAACAGATATCACTGAACACCTCTTTCAAATTGTATGTGAATTACTTGCCAACATTTGCTTTCGCATACGACCGTCTTCATCATTCCAATTGTAGGAGAGTAAATGGTAGTGATTCGTTCTGGGATCATAGCTGGACCGAGTACAAGAATGGGTTTGGAAAGATAGGGAAGGTGATTGAAGAGCATTACATGCTTACCGGAGCCTTTCTCGAAGTGATCATTCTACTATACAGAACACCACCTTCTGGCTGGGAAACGAGGCTCTTCATCAGCTGACTTACAAGGATCCCAATGTGACTCTGAGAGTGGAGATGCGAGGTGATAGGACGCCGAACACAAAAAATCCGAAAGGGTATTGGTGGAATCACTACTACAATTTCAAGGTTCGGAAAAATTTGTCATAATAATTACATTCCTAACCTTGCTGCATTTTTAGACTNATTGTCTGGTGTTCTTTGAAGAGTTACTTGAAGCTAGGCCCACTGACACTAATGTTCCTAACGAGGACTGTTGAACGTAGATCACTTAGACCATTTTCCATGAGGGTCACATCTTCTTGTAAATGTGAAACTGTTGTTTGAAGCTAGCCTCATTGACACTAATGTTCCTGAAGAGGAAGAATATTTTAAAGTTTTTTTTTAAATTCTGCTACTCTCCTTTTCAAGTTTGGAAAACAAAGGCATCTGTTCGTCCGGCCAAACGTTTTGGCTCTTTATAGATTGGACCTGAAGAAACCGACTACATGCTGGAAAAACTTTTTATCGAAAAGCGCAACATCCAGGGTAACGCGTCTACTGGATGGTGAGTAGCAATACCTCAGACCATTCATACAGTGTACAATTTGAGAGTAAATAGGTAGAAAATGTAAATCTCTAGGTACGACCTGATGCATTCGGTTGGGGCCAAATTCTCAACCGTCGACAAGATCAATGACCCGAGAAAAGACTGCGTCACGGAGCTTAAAATGGGGTTCGTATAAAATGTTGTCTTCATTCTCGAAAGCGCTTCTTCGCAATACGATGGAATCTTGAATGCTTACCGAAAATTGACAGTAGGCTCTTGGCATTATTGGCCACTGATTTGTATTTCAGAGGTTGGTGGTTACGTCAATGCGCGATGGCGACGTTGAATGGAGCTTACGACATGTCAAGCCCCAACCCCTCTGCTAAATTATACGGTAGGTATTATTGCTGAGATGGGACAGCTCTATCAATAAGTGGTCAGATCGATTATTTAGAAGTTAACAGCAGTCAAGTTTCACCAGTGGTCATAGTTACAGGCTTGTTCTGGATGTTCAACGGCACGATCAACACAATTCGCCCGCTCAGAACTACTATGATGCTCAGACCGAATCGAAACTCGACTAGCCGCATCTCTACGTGATATCTCCTATTTTCGCTGTAGTACAGATATCATTAAAGAGATTATCTTTCGTAGTGTAATGCAATGTATTTTAATGGATCAAAGGAGCATTTCTCCTTCACTTGTCTTCTGTATACCACACCTGCTGTTTCGACGGGTCGATGGTAGAATGCTTGGGTGCGGGATATTTATTTCAACATTTATTGGGTTAACAAGTCGTGAATACATTTCGTACCACTACAAAGTCAAACAGTCTGAGGTTTGTGCAACCTTGTTCGTCTTGTTTGGGATTGCTTGTGGTGGGTCCGGCAGGCGACAATTTGGAGCGCTCAGCTTATTCCTTCGTAACTATGACGAAGAGTTATGACATCTGCCCCTTTTTTCCTAAATTCAGGTGAATAGCACATTAGATGGTTTCTGAAGTGTCAAGAATAGTAGACTTCGTAGTTGGCCTGTCTTTCGGTACAAATCCACATCAATTTGTGACACAAAACAACTAACGACACCCAATCGTGGAGCGATCAGAAATATTGCTTTCTCAGCGCGCGTCACGAGAGTATTTCTCGTGTCGCACTCTGCTGGTATAACGCAATTTGCAGCTCAGTTTTGCAGTGATTAGTGTCAAATTTTCCTACCCCTAATCCAGGTTAAGGGATTCCGATTATTTAGCTATGTGTACCGCTGAATGTCTAATTTCTTCTTCTGATCTGACTCTTTGAAGTCTAGATCATATATCTTGTTTTTTACGTTGGTAAGAGGCTTCTGAAACTGATTGGACAAATCACTTCTTCAGGCTTCAGACGATGAGTATGAGCTTATCTAATGCATAACAATATTGCGTAAGCTCTACAACAACTTCACAACGATCATCTCTCCAACTAACTAGGGAGTAATTCTCAACCTAAATAGTGTGGTTGGGGTAGGTCGATTCCAACAGAGAAAGCTCTCCTATGTTGCTCTAGTAAACGTCGCACCAAAGCGTGCACCACATGTACAGTAGCGCTCAAAAGTCTTCGGTGAAATGGTTCTTCAGCCG